ATCCAGGTTGCATGTGGTCCAAAAAAAATTGGATTTGGGTCACTTCAGGCTGCAGTGTGAACGTAGCCTTCGTCTCTCTGCTGGTCTGGGACAGCCTCAGGCGGAGATGGAGGAGGCGTCTGTAAAGAGGAAAATCTGGGAGTACCCGGCCTGCCACGGCGACCCGGATAACACAACGATCTTTGAAGTTATTGACAATACTTTGAAATTATTTTGGTCCAGCTGGAACCAGCAGCCCGTCATGCCAGGGCACTGAGACCATCTGAGCGCGGCAGCATCGCCTTCCAGCGTGTTTAAGGGCTGCAATCGGTTCAGAAGACAACTACTTTCATGCAACATTTAACATTTAATGGTATTTAAGTGCAATACAAACAAAAGAAAGCAATTGTACAATCAGGTAGCAGCTGATGATTACAGTTACATAAATCAACACTTTCAAAACAATTTATCATTTTCAACAACTGAAATATTGGGGGGAAAAAAAAAGTTTTTTCCAAACTTTGGAAAAATTTCGTAGAGTATTTCTTAGGGACAAATCAACCATATTACTTCCACAGTAAGTCAACATATGGGGCCCTAATAACGCTCCTCCACTTTAAAGTTTTTTTTTTCCTTCCACCCAGTGAGGCTGGAAAAACAAAAATGATTTCTGTGGAAAAACCCTAAAAATAAAAAACCTAAGCAACAGGGAGAATCTAATCAGTCTGCCTCGATCTTCCAAAAGATAAATAACATTTTGAAGGCTGAACGGCTCTGAATCTTTAACCTGATCCGGAAAGGAACACGTTTCTCATTTCCATCTGTGCAGCAAATGAAGAACATTGAATTAGAAAGTATACATTAACTTCCATCCAGCGCCACAATGTCCACTATTATACAGCAACATCTCTGGCAGCAGAAAGGGAAAAGAAAGCAAACTGTGCATCCAGGAGGAGAAGATAAAAATAAGCTTTACAACAGTAGCACACATCTCCCACAGTGCGATGCTGCGGTTGGACACTTGATTGAGGATTACCTCAAAGACGATCAGATCAGTCAGATGCAGATGTCTGGTAAATCAGGTCGATGGATTTAGTCGTTGACAGCTTCTGGTAATAATTCTGAAGGACAGATGAAGAGGAGCTGAGGCTGAGCTGGTGAGTTAAACCCTGGCTGTGTTTCGATCGTACCTTCAGGCGGTCGTAGTGAGCGCGGCTGCTGCAGTGGGAGTCATCAGCTGTGGTCCCGTCCAGGTAGAAAACGGAGCAAAGGGAGCAGAATCGACCCAATAGAGGCTCCACAAACTCCTCACCTGATCGGACACGGAGACTTAAAAAACAGAACCTGTTGTTCGTCTAAGATCACAGCTTTCAGTGAGCATGTCTCACCGAGGAGAGGTCTGCAGCTGGAAGGGAACAGCTTAAAGCTAAGGGAGACCGAGGACGACTGGAGGGGAAACGTCTTCAGTCCATCCAGCCCTCTGCTTGGTTCACTGCTGACTGAGGGGAATCAGATCATCAGGGTGAACAACATGAAAGCATTTGACCTGAACACAGATATATTAAAACAAGGAAGTAGTCTGGATTATAAAGAATACAGTCCATGGAAACTAGCAAACGTGTGATCAAGTCTTTTTTTTTCTGAGGGTTCATATTTTCATGTCTGTGCATCAACCACCTCAGTGGCAAACCAATGTTCAGCCCCCTGAGCCATATGTCAGCAGGCATTAGTCCCAGCATATTACAAATGTCTCCATCTTCAGACTGGAATCTGACGATTCATTCTAAGTTGGATCGTCTACATGACGTGTCGATTACAGACTCTACGGCGACAGTAGTGTTTGGCGTCAGATGAAGGAGTTTGTCCTGCAACCAAGCTTGTATATATATACATAAAAAACTGTAACTAGAGCGTGTAACAAAAGTAATTTCCCTATGGGATTATTAAAGTATTTTCTAATTCTGAACCAGAGGGTTTTCAGTTTAAACCTTTCAGTGTCGTTTCCATGGGTAAGACATTTTATCTGCATTGCCAACTGATGGTGGTCAGAGGGTCCGGTGGCGCCTGTGTACGGCAGCCTCGCTTCTGTCAGTTAGCCCCAGTGTAGCTGTGGCTAAAATGTAGCTCACCACCATCAGTGAGTGAGTGACTGTAGAGTAAAGAGCTTTGGTTGAAGTTTTTTTTTTACTTAACTCTTCATAGGACAAGTTACCGTTTTTTTGATCACTTTAAAAATGGAGATTTATATCCAGCCATTCAGCAAAGATACTGCTAAATGGCTGTACATGTTATTTTGGTATTTGATCAATTGGATGACCCCTTGAATGATATATTACCTATACTAAATTAAGCTAAAAAATAGTTAATTTAAGAAGCAAAACAAGTAAAAGCTATATGAAAACGTAAAAAAAAGTAAGAAAGCTTTAAAGCTCTAAGATAATGCTGAAACAAAAACCTTTGTTTCTTTCACTCAGTGTTTTTTATTCTTATAGAAACACTTGTAATTTTTTGTCAATATATTTGGGATATCAAAATATCAATGTTATTTGATTGTAACAAAGGTAATAAGGCCCTGTCCTCTAATAACGCTCTTGGCTTGAAATTTTGATTTATAAATACAGGCCATTTACCGTATTACACACACAACTGTGAATCTAATCCCCAAAAAAAGTTTGGTCTCCCCTGTGTGCTACTTAGAACAAGCACATCCTGCCCCTGAGTGGTTAATTGAGGATGATTTACAGCCTTTCTAACTTGTCTGAAATGTTGATCTGCCATCTTGCTGTACAGCAGCTTCACTCTGAGCAACATCTTCAGATCGCTGACAGTTTAGTCTCTCCTGAAGGCGCCTCTACATAGAGCTAACATGGAAATCACTCAGTTCAGTTGCCACATTCAATGTCTCTCTAATAATTAAAGTCGTAGGGAAGTGGCTCTTCCAACCGTTGCAGTTCGGAATTCTCCCGAGTGGTGCCCGACTTTACACGAGTGAATAAAGAGAATGTGTTTGGTCGTTTATCAAGGGGGCGGGATTTTTGTGGCGGAAGGTTCGCAAGTTTGTTTGGTTGCGGTCGGTTTGCTGGAAGCATCTTGCTAACCAGTTAGCAACTTAGTGCTAGTAGATTCCCAATAGGAAATTCCATTGGGAACAATAGCACTTAGAAATGACACTGTCAAGGAACGCTACGGACAGAGGAAACATGCAAGAGGAGGAGAGTTTTGTGTCGGAGGTCGTGGATGAGTCTCCTCCGTCATAATTTCTATTTAGAGGAGGAAAGCGGGGACAAAGATGTTGTGGAAGAGGACGCCAGAAGCTTGGTTTGGTGTAGAAGGCTTACAGCCGTACATGTTTGAGCTCTTGCCTCACAACGCTGCCAGTTCTGTTAGCTCTACGCCTGCTGAAGAAGACACAGACGTCCATCCCTGTGAACACTGGGACGGAACTCAATGGTGAAATAAATTATTCTTATTTCTCATTTCAAACATTGTGTATATTAGCTGCGACATATGAATCAAGATGCTATGACCGAAAAAAAATTGATTGACAGATGCCATTGATATAGGGTTGGCTGAATTTAGGTGTACAAGCTGACGTATAACTAACTGGCCTGCATAAAATAACGAAACAAAAACAGATTTTAAGACAGGATTTTTTTTTTTTCCTAAATAGAAATTTTCTAACTTTTGGGACAATATGGTCTGATACAGAATACATGTTTAAGTCAGAATGATTTGACGTTTAAATATGACTTCCCTACAACTTTGAGGACTTTATTTAGTGATTTATTTGTGAATGGAAACCATGCCTTCTGGTTTAACCGGATTTCCTTCACAGCAGTCGAGCAAATGGAGCCAAATTCATGGCACACCTCCGATTTATACGAAAACAATTTATCATCACATTCAAACAGATACAGACCTGAGCGTCTCCCTCTTCCTGCTGCAGATCTTGGACTCTAACAGGAGAATGAGGCGGTTAGAAGTAAACCAGACTTTTAGCTCCGTATGACTTATGAGTTTAGATGTGAACCACACCTCTTTCTGTAGGGTTTTTTCTTGCTCTTCACATCCTTCGCTCTCATCCATGGAACGGAGCTCCTGCAGGTTTCTCTTTATTCTAACATCTGTTGCGCTGTCACCTTTCTCTGCTGGATGGATTTCCTCCAGAGGAGTTTTCTCCTCCCTTTGCTGCTCCTCGTCTCCACCAGATGGTTTCTTTTCTTGGTTCCAAACATCTCCCTCAGTCGTTCTTCCTCTGGTAGATCCATGTTCATCCGCCTCCATCTCTTCATCCGTCTCTGTGTTTCTTTCAATCCCTTCCCTTCCAGATGTGTAGCTTCTGGTTGGTCCATCGTCTCCTGTCGGTTTTTCTTCATTCGTTTCAGACTCTCTGTCAGTAGGAGTCTGATCCTCCCCTGAATCCATCACTTTGTAAACTCCTCTTGAAGGTTCCTCCCCAGCCTCAGTCAGCAGGTTAGAGGAAGTCTCTAGTTTCTGCACCTCAGTCTCCGTCACTGATGGATCACCAGCTAGATTCCCAATCCCCTCAGATACCAGAGGACCTCCATGATGGTTGATCGGGTCGTTCTCAGCCATAGGTGTCAGGGATCCTTCATCTTCTTGCACTGGTTCAGTTCTATAGATTTCTTCCTCTACAGACTGACCTCCCTCATATCTTACTGCTGCAGCTCCAACATTAGTCTTCAGGCTCTGGTTGCGTAACTCCTGCTTTCTCTTCTTCGCAGAGCAGCGCTTCTGTGATTCTGTTTTTTGTTTGGTTCCTGAGCTGCTTACAGTGATGGACTCTGGTTTACCATCTTCTCTGTCCAACAGAAGAGTCTTGGCAGCGGAGGCTGAAGAACATCTTCGTTTAGCAGAGACTGAACCTTGTGAGGTTCTACTTCCTCCTTCCTGGGGCAAGAAAGTCATCCATCCAGCTGCAGGTTTTACAGAGAAGGGAGCAGCAGCCATGTTTGTGTTCGCCTCAAGGCTTATTTCAGTGTCAGTGGAGTCCTGCAGACGCTGCTTTAGACTCCTCAGACTTAAAGAGCAGAAACAGGTTTAAATGTTTTTTCCTCTGCAGAGGATGTTCAATACTAAAATAAACAATGATTTATTTATTCGTTTTATTTTGGTTTCTCCCTCCTAAAAGCTGTTTCCCTAATTAAACAGCAGATTTTAAACTAGTGTTAGATTTTCTAGACCAGGTCAACATTCACCTTAATTTCATACATAAAACATTTTATTTTCTTTTAACTTCTAATTTTTTTGTGACATTTCCATTTTGAAATCTCTATAAATGCTTAAATACCCTGTATGAGTAAAACTATAAAATGTCATTTTTTAAAATAAAAATCAAATAAAAATGTCAATCTTAGCCCACTGGTGAGTTGAGCTGTTTTAAGCTGCTGTGGGAAGTGATGCACTAAATGTTTAGAGGAAATCAGCCTTTTTTCCAACTACAAATATTTTTAATCGATCTGAACTACAGAAAAAAATAACATTTCAAAGGATGTGAAAAAGAACACCCAAGCATCTCCTATTATTGGCCAGAACGTGAGTCACCCTGCAGAGCAGAGTAGGAATTATCTATAGACTGACTGGCTTTAATATAAGATACTTACGGTTCAATACGTTTCACTTGGCTCCTGTTTGAGAAGAAATAAACAAAAGTCATCAACACCAAGACCCATCTGGGTTCGTATCAAGTTCACTTAAATCCTCTCATACCAGATCTGATGCGTTGATGAAGCGCCCAGAGAAACTTTATGAACAGCTTCTGTTACGCCACTAGGTTCAGCCATCTCCACCACAATCTGACGGGAAACAGGTGGAGGAAATAAAATCAAGAATGAAACTAAAACAGAAAATCATCAACTTTATACTTTGCTCACGGCATACGAGTCAGATATCCAACATCATTTATTTATTTTTTTCCTCTACTATAAGTCATGCAGGGAGTATTACAGATTACATGGACACTAATGTAATTAGAACAGGAAAGGAACAATAGGAAAAAGGAGAAAAGATGATAAAAAGAAGAGATAAAAGGGAGACAATGATAAAACACCTTCAGTCTGCTTCATCACCTGCAAAGAGATCTAAAAAAAAGAACAACACAACCAACGGATTCAGTATAAGATATACTAAAGTAGCACCTAGTAGTATTATTTAATCTGACATGTATACTGTGGAAGCTGAAGATAACATGGGCTTTCTGTGTGGAAGTAAATCTCTAAGTACCTGGAACCAAGCACCTGTAGTTGTTTGTGAGAGTGCTCTTGTGCATGTAAAGTTTATCCAAAGGATAAATGCTCAGTAGTGGTTGTGAAGAGCCAAAGACCCGCCCCTCCAGAGAACCGAGGTGAGAGCCAGAGGATCAAAAGCCGTAGACACCCAGAGCAAAGGCGCCCAGGAAGGGCCAACCCAGGAAATCCGCCCCCACCAAGGGAGGAGGAGAGCAGTGTCACACTAACCCATCTAGTCCAACATCATCATCAAACTAAATGTGGGACCAGAAATCTGTCAAAAATGAGACGAGTTGTGATGCTGGTGTTTCGCCGTTACCCGGTTAGCGAGCGGCAGGAAGTTCACAAAAGCAGCAACAGAAGCTACTTCCTTCATGACCAGCATGGCGAGGTGTGGGGATGGTTGGGAGGTCTCCACGCACAGCAGCCGCTCCTCCAGAGACGCCGCATCTGAGACGTGCTGAAGGAACAAACACCTGAAGGTCACCTTTAGCTGCTGCTTCCACTCAGCAGTCTGAGGGAGGAAGGACTCACAGCGTTGCTCCACTTCATCAGAGCTCTGTACATCGTCTCCTGCAAGCAGAGCAGAGAGGTGTTAGAAATCCTTCCAATGGTTGCTGTTGCCGGGTTTTTAATGGAAAATGATCAGGGCTGCAGTAGGAGGAGCCACCTGTAAGCGGACCATAGCTCTTCTGCTCATTTGATATTATTTACTCTTGCCATTTGATCCTTCAGCTCCAAAGTGTTACTTTTGCTCTTTAGCTGTGTAATAAATGCTTTTAGACAACACATACATATTCTTAAATTTTAGTCAAAATTATTTCTCTGCAGATATAAACAAAAAAGCAAAAGAAGCGCCTTTGCAAACTTGTGACAATTATTTAGCCAAGTTTTTACAACTCCTCTAATATAACCTTTAAAGAAATATTTGATTTAAAAAAACAAAAATAAAACTCAGACACTGACATAGACTTAAGTATATATCAATGTCTAAAATATCCCATCAATGTTGAATAAAATTATAATGTGAGATATTGGGGCTGGGAGATTAATGGATCTTGATCTAATTACATTTTCCATTTATGATCATTTAATTTTTGGAAAGATATTCTCAGTCTTTGCAGAAATGTTCTCCTCACTGGAGGATATGAGGGTGTGTTAGGACCATGGTGGATAAAATGACCCAAAGTTTAAAGCTCAAATGGAAAGGAGTGCGTCTAGAGCAGTTTTATCATGTGTGATGGTAGATGATCCTTTATTCCGTAAAAGTTCAAAAAATAGCCACTGGACTTGGTTTCCAAGATTTGAAGACGTTTCGCCACCTCTCCAGGAAGTTTTCTCAATTCAAATGTCAGATGATTCTTTATTTTCTCTATGTGGCTGGTCTAAATCGCGCTAAAAATGCTCCAAGTAATAGAAATCGAGAGAATTTCACAGTATGCTGGACGCCTCTAGAGATCCCCAGCTGTGGCGTCAGTGTAGTCAAACATCGTCTCACAGCATCAGTTGGATTAAATATACCACAGTTGCAACGGCTTGTTTTATAGCTTTAATAAAGTGCCTGATGGCTATAAAGCTTATTTAAAGCATTCTTTATTTTATTTCATCAAAAAAACAAACCCTAGCTAATTGAACAGTGTTATATAGCTGTAGCTCCAGATGGATTTCCATATCATTACGGCCCAGGCTCCAGAACAACAAGAGCCGCGACGGATAACAGCCAGTTACTGCAGGCGGAGACTCACAGCTGGAACCCCACTGGCCCGGAGCCATGAGCAGAACTGAGTAAAAACCACATCCGAAGGGCAACGTTTCCCACCCGGACAGCAGAAAGTGTTTGGACAGCTCGAACCCAGCCACCACAGAACCAAGCCGAATCCCAAAATAAAGGTTAGACTCTGGTTTAAACTAATTAAAGCTGGTTCTGTGCTTCAATGTTCTCAAAGATAATGAACTTCCAGCGGTTCTGCATTTAGCAGCAATGATTAAACCAGCGAGCATAAACAAAACCACTAAGACTGATTGCTTCATATTCATCAAAGGATAAAATTTCATCACAAAGGTGAATAAATTATTGACTCGCCATGTAAAATTACTACTTCCTGACATCAGGGCATCCCTCAGTGGGTCATTCTGAGGGATGCTGGACATTTTTTCACTTGTGATGTATTTAATGTTGTACATACTATCAAATTCGAAACTATAACTATGTGTCTTCTATTTGAACTTTAATATTAAGTTTAATATTAGGAGGTTTTATCCCCCCGCCACTCATTGTTGCAGTCTTTCCCCCTAATGATAAACTGTTTCGTACCTCAGTGAATCCGGGCTGCATGTCCTCTAAGACTAGGTGAACGCTGAGCTTGCAGCCTTTGACAGAAACTGGCTTTCTGATATGATGTTTGACAAAACCCCTGCAGGCGCTCCAGCTGCTAAAAAACACAAACGCCTGAAGTGGAAAGAAAAGAGAAAAAAGTGAGGACAGAATCGATTGTCTAACAACAAAATAGCCAGGATGTGGGGTCTCTACCCTCCTCTGCAGCGGTAAGACTGTCACATTGTAGAACCAAGTGTGCAGGTTTGGTTTGGGGAAGAAATGCCAAACCAGCTTGGCCACATCCTGATGGGTGTAGTTTTTCTGAGGTAAACCGGTCAGCATGACGGTGCTGAACCTGGAGGCCTGGATAGCCACCTTCTGCACAACAACAAGGTACAGAAGCAAAATATTCAGCCTAAAAACTCTAAACTCTGCCACATTCATTTACTCCTAGATTCTTATAAGTTTGTAAACATTTGAGTGAAGAGAGCAAAGCAGAAATGACCTCTACAGACTCCATTGTTTCGACTGTCAGATAATCTAAGAAAGGAAGAGAGAAAACTGTTAATCTGAGTAACATTAAGGCTCCAAACTGCTTTGAGGGGATTTTCCTACCTGGAATATTGAACCAGGGAGCGAAGGTGGGAAACACACAGGGGTTGGTGCTCATGGTGATCCAGAACGGAGGAGCGCTTCCCTGAGGAACGCCACACTTCGCAGTCGGGATGGCGGCGCCATCAACAGCTGCATGGCGGTCTGGCAGAGCTCTCTCTGCAGCCGCTGGTGCTGTACAAAAATTGACAAAAAGTGTTTCTAATGGTAATGAACACTTAGTTATGCTAACAATCTAGTGATCTAAATTTTTTTTTACTGAAAGTAATAAGTAAATAAACTGTTTTTAATCCATTAATGAGGTTAAAGCTCTACAATGAACGCTGGTCTGAGCAAAAGTTTCAGGTGACTTCTTCATGGATCAAGGAACGCCAACAGTCTCACCAAAGTGGTTATCAAAGGGGAGGCAATTTAAAGATAAAAATCTGTTTAGTTTTTTTTTTTAACTTCTGAGTTTTACTGTTTGAAATATTTATGCTGAACTACAGACCAAAATGTATTGCAATAAAAACTGGATATATCATAGCTTACTATGCAGATGGTGTAATGGATAGTGAGCTATTTAAAATAAATTGCCTAAATATTTATTTTTGTCGAGTATTTAAAGTAAATTATTGAAAGTGAATTTTCTAAATTAAGAATGTTGATTTTTTTATGGATGTTTTTGATTAGCATTGTTTTTTTTTTATTTTGTTTTAATGGTATTTGCACTTTGTAATGTTTTTGTTTTGTACCTCACAGGCTGCCGTAGCTAATGAGGCCCTGTAACAGTTGGTAGAATAATTGTCCCAATGATTGACTTGAACTTTTAAGATTTGTTTGTCACCAAGAAAACGACACGTAGTGTTCCCCAGTAAATGCAGCGAGGTACCTTTTGTTTTATTGTTTGTATTATATTTGTATAGGTTTTAGTTTCCACGGTGACTAAGGTAACTGTGGTGGCTGTGATAAGGATCTTCATTAAATAAAATGCTAAATTCACCTTTCGAGACTGGCTGAGTAAATCAAGTGATGTGGCTTCTACAGGTTGTTTTCTTGTAAAGTGCTTCAAAGCTACATAAACGTACATGAATCGCTGCTCAGACACAGGTCTACTACTGGCAGTCAGAGGGACTCTGGATCCTTTGGTAACCTGCTGCAGCATTAGTTCTGCTGAGAACCTGATAATGACCGACCAATAAACATAAGCTGGGCAAAAAAAACCCTCCAACACATGCAGGAAACCCAACCTCTGAGGACCTTTATTTCCTATAGGCCATGGCGATTTAGACCTTGATGATTTAGACCAACACATGCCTGACGTACAAAACGCAGCGCATGTTGGATAAGTTATGTAGCCTGATAAACCAGACTAAATGTGAGATTAAATGTGTAATTTAGTCTGGCCCTGATGAATGAAACATTGGAAGATTGTTGATGAGAATAACCTGTTGTCTTTCAAACAACAATGAGGACAGCCGACTGTGACGTAGTAAGCGCGATAGAAAGCTGGTGGGGGAGTGTAAATAAAAAGCTTGTCGGTAAAACGGCGAATACGTTGTCCTTAAAAATGAATGGGCGTAGAGCCTCTTCCTGCTCACGTTTCAACAAAAACCCCAATTCTAATCCTTTCAAAACTGATTCCAAAGCTGAGTCAAATGAGAGCTGTTCAATAGTTGCTGCCATCTTCCTTGTTGTGCTTTTGTCGTCACGTCCTCAAAACCCCGCCCACTTTGCATAGAGAAATTCAAAACACTGCGTTTTGATTGGCCCGCTAGTTCTAGGGCATGGAGTATTGATCGAGGCTAGACCTCTCGCTGGCAAAAAGGATTTTGGCCGTTGGCAGGCGGGGCTAGTTTACTACGCTATAAGTTATGGGTAATTTTTGCATAAGTTATGAGCACGTTGAAACACACTGAAACATGCTGGAACACGTCAACATTTGAGCAAAATTTCCTAACGTATGCCAGCGTATGCCATACATGGGTCATAAGTTAAAGCTAAGTTATCTGATCATCGACATATGTTAAGTGTAAGTTACTCAAGTTGTGGCGTCTAGCTTGTCTAAAACTTATGAGTAACTTGTGCATCTCCAACTCATATCAGCGTATGTGATGTGTTCCAGTTGACCGCTGAACGTGTTTCTAACTTACAGCTACTGTATAATGGCGTATTGGCAGTGTTTTGGTATAAAAGGGGAAACTGTTGGTTCTCCTTCAGGCTGCATTCGCTTCATAGGGTGAGCGAAAGGGGTGAGTGTGATGGATCCTCCTTGCATCCACACCCACGACCAACAAACTTCCTGATGCTGAATCTACTGCGACTGCAAACCTTTTTTATTTATTCCTTATTTTTTTGGGCAGGTGGTAAACAGCAGCCAGGGTAATACTGCGACAAAAGACATCTTTTTATGCAGACAGAGTGCCACCAGGCGCAATGCTGCCCCCCTCAAGACACTGGCTTGTGACATTTTATGGGCATTAAGGGCAGATTATTCTTCTGCAACCGCACACGTCAAATGTCGCTTGCGTCTGGCCGTGAACCGGTTTTGCTAGTATGGTTCTGCAACGTTGGTCTGGAATTTCTAGGGACACACAGCAGTTTCCCGCCAAAGCACAAGGGGGAGCCCTTTCCAAGAACTCGCGGATGGTCTCAAGAACTTCTTTGGCGGTGCCGGCAGGAGTGTTTCTCTTCCAAAACAACAATGGCGCATCTGCAAGATATCACGGTCACGGAGTTGGATCTAGAATTGCTAGACATCAAAGAGAAACAGGTTCTGTTAATGGAGTTAGCAAAAAGACAAAGGAGGACGCGTACTTTAGGTGGTGTGTACGCCCCTTGAATCACACCAGGGATGAGACTTGGGAGTTTCGACCCGGCACCGAATCGAGAAGGACGACCACACAGCCAGCCGGAAAGGCATACCAAAGACCAAACACAGCTGCTTTTTGTCTGCACACTTCCGCTTGAGTGCTGTGCTGGTTTGCGACCGTCCAACCCGTAGTCAGGATTTTTTAGAGGTGCGCGCAGAGCCTCTGCGTCAGAATGCGTAAGCTATGCGTTATGAATATTCTATGTATATGCCCAAAATTGAAAAAATACATGGAAAGTTCAGCATATTCCAGCGTTTTAGGAGATTCTGGGACATCAGGCATACGCTGGATAAACCAGCAAGGTGTAACAGGGCCCTAAAACAGAGACTCACGTGGAGAAACACTGCTGCTTTCAGGTATTATCATCCTGAAGACGTAATAAGGAGGAGAGTCCCTCAGGAAGCTGTACCAAACGCCCAACAGATCAGCCTCATGCCTGGATTCAAATTCAACAAACACCTGAAACACAGGAAACATTCAGCAAACCTCCCTTCGCTCCGACAGACAGATGGCTGAAGGTTAAAACCTTTTCGAGGAGCGGCAGGTATCGTTTCACTGAGCCGATCTTTATCAGAGCTTCCTTCAGAGCTCTGATCTCGCCCTGGCAGATGTTGTGGATGAAGATTACCCTTCCTCTGTCAGTCTTCTGGCCCTGTGGAGGAACAACTCATTTTATCCGCTTTCTATCTCCATTTGTTCACTAAACAAAAATGTAAAGATATTTAGACTAATATAATTTTGCATTGATTGCTTTAGAATCACAGAGCTCTGAAATAAAACAGTTAACATCATTAATGTTAAAAACGTGTTAAAGATGTGAAGAAGAAATATGGCCATACTTACTGATCGGGTCTTTTTGATCAGAAACGTATAAAACCCAAACTGAAATAATCCAGAGGAAACGGTGTTACTTCAACTTCTGCTCTCAATTATACAGTTTTAAGGAAAAACAAAAAAAAAGATTCAAATGTATTTGAAAAAGGTTCTAAAAATAAAAAGATGAGAAAAAGAAAAAAAATGGGGAAGAAGCTCAGACACACTGACCTTAGAAAAAACATTAAGGTTTGTTTCATTTCAGTTGGACCATAATTTAACCAATTCATGTTTTCATTTACATAATGGTTAGAAATAGTTTAGCTCTGTATAAATCTGCAATTTTTGATTAATCAGATTTTCCAAACTAAATTCAATAAAATTCAAAATAAATTCGGTCATGTGTCATATTTCCATCTCATTTGGTACAAAGTAATAATATAATGTGTGAATCTTACTGGCTTCATTGAAACCATGTCATGCACAACTCTGACTGAGATACTGGATCCTTTGAAAACGATCTGGTTCTGGTCCAAATAGGCGATGATCTTTCTAACATTTGTCACATCTGGCATCAGGACAAACGCCTAAAAAAAGCAAACAAAAACATGTTTATAACTGTAGCATCACTCCTAAATTATCTGAACACTAAAGGGCATCACTGTCCATATATCATATGTATCATATTTATTATTTGTCATTGAACCAAATGATTCTTAAATAAACAAGCAAAAAAGTAAATTTTCCCAAACCTTAAATTAAGATACTTTGATTTGTAATAACTTCACTCTTTTTATCTTCTTTTCCCAGGAATAATGTATTTTAACATTAACAATAATGACTTGCTGACATGTTCACCAGTTCTAATTATAGCTCAGGCTCATAGTCTGGTTAGAAAATAGTTGTTAAAACTACAATTTAATCAAAACAGCAAATACATCTTAATGCGACAGAGCTTGATAGTCCAAGTAAAGCTTTGTAATAATATAAAAATTTCTGATTAATCAATTAAAAATGGGATTTCTTGGTTTGCATCTTTTATTACGAAAGAAAAAACGTATTTTTCTTCTCCATGTCAACTTAAACAACTCCATCTGTTATGGGACATTATGAGTAAACATGTACAAGCATTAGTGTTTCTCAACATGTAATTTATTAAGGCAAAAAAAGCATTTTCCAGAACTGTTTCTATAGAAGAAAAACGTCTCAGTGCTGATAAGAACTGATGCACATCAAGTTCAAACTACAGGAAGCAACTTCTTTGTGTGGTGGAAAATATTAATACCGTATGTTTTTGTTATTTCCTGTTAAATTGCTTTATTCCAGGCACTAAATTTTTAATTAAATCTGTTAACAGGAAGTGAGCGTGGTATTAGAGGACATCTCTGGATCAGCTGTGCTACAGTCATGGAGAAGGCATGGGCTTTTCTCTTCATTTATAATACAGGGTTTATTCAGGAATGAGTAACTCGAATTTAATGCTTTTTAATGAACTTTTAATGCTCTTAGAAATTATTTTAATGCCATCAACTTTACCGTCGACAGGCTGTAGCCATGTCCGGAATTCCTCGTTTTGCAGCCACTTTTATTGAAATTTACATTTTCCCCATTCTCTAGCTTTTTCTCCGTCTCAAGCTTCTTTTCCGAACATACGGCTTTATGATCAACCCGAAGAAGTTCCACGCAAACATGCGGAACCATTTATATCTCATATCTGACGAAAATAAAGCATTTTAAATGCCACGATTGTCACATTTAATGAATTTTAATCCCAATTAATGACTTTGAATGATTTTTAATGACCCGTGGAAACCCTGTAATACATCCAATTCAATGGGAATCTATTGAATGGATTGGAGACAACAGAATGACGACAGCATATTTTTCTCTCCAGGCATATAATACAACAGATGAAGCTAGGATTTTAAGGCAAGAGTGTCTGAAGGAGATAGATTAGATGTAATGTAGACCACTCTGGTGTCACGTTGTTGGGAGCAACCTGCTGAAGCAGGCCTGTGAACATCAGGGGGAAACAGGCTATATTCACCTCTGAGCCATCACTGTTTAACTTCTAACACAAATAAAACTGAGGGGATCCCAGGCAGACTGTGCTCACAACAAGGAGCTTTTAGGGTTCTCCATGGAGGGACGGTTTACATAAAATATTCCTACAAATTCTACTCTTCATGGGGGCTCCTTCAACCTGGAGGCTACTTTAATTAAATTCAGTTTATTTCTATAGCGCCAATTCACAACATGTCATCTCAAGGCACTTTACAGTTCACCAGATCATACAGTCAAATTGATTCAAGGTTTTCTATCTAAGGAAAACCAGTTGATTGCATCGACTCATTGACTCGAAGGCAATCTTTCACGCTAAGCATGCTTGTAGCGACAGTGGAGAGGAAAAACTCCTTTTTAACAGGAAGAAACCTCCAGCAGAACCAGGCTCAGTGTGAGCGGCCATCTGCTGAGGCCCACTGGGGTTCAAGGAGACAGAAGCAGAGACACAAAAACAGCTGTAAAAGGCGGCCCCGTCCAGGAAACACACAGCCTGACAGACGAGCTCTGAACCAGCTCCCATGTCAGAGGATGAAGAGAGCACATCCAGCCAGTCAGAGAAACAGGACTACACTGGAAAAACAGGCCCATATTCATCATCTATAAACAAAGGTGTTGATGGAAGCAGCACAGCTTTAGTTTGATTTCTTTATGCCTTAATATCAAAACCTTCCAACTCCACAGCTACTTTCCCCTTAGCTCTAGGCTGTGATGCAGTTTATCCACGCTTTAATACACATTTCCTGCTTCTTTTGGTTTGCACTAATTATAACCTGCAAGCCTGAACAATATTTAAGGGTAAAATGATCAAAGCTATCATCCTCGTCACTCAGAGGTTTCTCAGATCTGACTGGCAATGATTTCTCATATTGAATGTTGCTAATTAATAAAAATATGCAGGAATTGATGTTTAATCGAGTGGTTCTAATGGTCTATGTGTGTTTAGGCACCAAAAGCGTTTGGTGAACTATGAGGCTGTTCAGCTGAAAGCATCAAGTTGTGGTTTATGTTCTGGTACTCACCATGCACTTTTGAGGAATAACATAGATGTTGTTCCCCTTATAGAGGAATCCAAAAGGGCAGAACAGGTCGGCAACATCACTTTCTCTGTAGCAGCCATCATAATACTTTGGCAGCTTGGTTATCATGAGCAGCTTCGCATCAAGTGTAAATAGCTTGACACATTAGGAGAGAGAGATGATCACACAAGTCTCACATGTCTTAAAAAAAAACAAGGTAGTTGTGATTTTTTTATGTGGAGCCAGTAGGGTGGTAGAAAGAACAGCTCAAAGAGGAAACGCAAACATGAGGGAATCTTTACTGTCTGATGCAACAAACTGGAGCTTATTGTTCATTGATCTTTTTTCTCATGCAAACAAAAGAAAACATTTTTGTTTGGTTGGTAGTCTAACACCGTTCTTTAAGAAAAATTAACAGTTCAGTCAAAGAAAACTCACCTTTGGTGACAAGACTGTTTTCCTGCTTAAACACCCTGAGAACAGAGTAGAAAGTAAAAGTCTGCATGGGTCAGTAAAACTGAGGTAACTGCAGGTTTGAACAGATTTCGTACCAATCAGGTGTTCGACCTGAAGTTCCTCAAACGTCTCTTCAACCATCGGGATGCAGGCAGCAGCTGGAGACTGCTCTCTAGTTTTCACTGCAGATAACAAAATATTTTATTTAAACGCATAACTTATTACCCATCACTGGGAAAAAAAAATTATAACTACAGTCTAAACTTTATTACATTTACTGACCGTTAATCACATGATTAATCATATCCAACAGTTTTTAGTTTTTAATCAAGACTTTTGGGGGTTTTTTTTAATAGAGATGTGACATGCCTCTCTTAAAAGAAGTAAAAACAATGTCCATCTTGCGAAATTAATCTTTGGTCACAGTTTATGTAAAAATAGTACATTGAAAAGTTTTTATTCATTAATATGAGTGGAAAAACTCTTTGATTTATAATCATACATCTTATTGCTAAACAGCTTTTAAAATGTTTGAACAAACATTTTCCTGATTTCTTCGCGGTTGAAAGGTTTCCATAGCATCACTAATCTTTAGGGCTGAACAACTGCATCTGCAATTTATAAAAACTTTCTTTCAAAATGACAGATGCACAAAATTTTTGGTCACTTTACATTTAAGGACAGTAGGAAGCTTTAAGAAAGAGAGAATTATACCGTAAGCTATGAGTTCGCGTTAGTTGAAAGCCCTTTTCCACATGGCAGGCAAATTCTGTTTAATCTGTTTTAAGAAACGTTACCATTACCACTTAATCAAGCGCCGGTAAAACCTAATCTAATTGTGGGAAGTTTCGGTGGCCCAGTGGTTAGCGCACACAACCCATGTACTCAATCCTTAGTCCTCAACGTGGGCGATCCGGGTTTGAGTCCGACCTGTGGTCCCATGTTGGACCTCATCCAGGGTTTCTCTTCTTTCTAAAATCTGCTGCGCTGTAATCTTTCTCTGCTGGATGGATTTCCTCCAGTTTTCTCCTCGCTTTGCTTCTCAGGTTCTGCCCCCTTTCCTGACAGCCTACTGTCCAAGAAACAAGCCAATAGTCCCATAAAAACTCAAAATCAAATTGTGTAAATCTAAAACGGAGTATTAGGGCCAAGCTAGAGATTCTCTTACAAGAATCACTGTCTTCCATAAAATGAGGAATGTCCAGCATCATGTGAAGTTATGCTTTGGCATCAGTTTGGCAAATAAGGAATGAAATTGGGCAGCATGTCAAAGTGGACTCAGGTTGTTTGGTGGTGCTGGTCGGCCGGCACATGCTGGTTGGAGCTAAAAGCTATATTTGTGAAATGCGTTGTGGAATGACTTCTTCGTTCTAGTTATTTTTTAAACTTTATTCTCGTAATATTACAACTTTATTCTCTAAATAAAAAAGAAAAATCTCTAGCCTGGCCCGAATACTCCACTTTAGTAAATCAAATTAACATTTAAACTAAAAGTTACTGCAATTACACCAGTAGAGGTTTAAACCTCCCCTGGTTTCATGATGGGTCCTTAGCTGGAAACTGAGGCCTTTCAGGGGCTTTCGTTCTGAAGGGGAACTTACTACTACTCTAAATCAACACTGAATAATGCTCATCAGGGGTGTGTTTGGCCATCAATTTAAGAGGTGTTAATTAAAAGGTGCAATTCAAAAAAATAAAAAATAAAATTCCTGAAAATATTCTACCAATAAAAACACATAAAAAGCATGAAACTCCAACATATTCTACCTTCCAGCAAGTAGAAAATCCTATCAAGCATTCTTTGCTTTTGCAGCTAAAAGTACCTTTTTTCTTTGCTTTTGTCTTCGTATCTCTAAATTTCTGCGATTTCTTTAAAAGAGATGAACTTCCTGGTTTTTGTTGTTTTTCCAAAGCATCTGGTTTCTGGTTCCGGGATGATGATCTGAGTGGGGCTGTTGGCGTTTCCAGATTTATTGTCTGAAGATCAGTGGGATCAGTTGGTAAATTCTCCTGTAGATCAACTTTATTTGTGGTTTTAACCTCTACAGAATCTTCTGCTCTCGTTTCCAGATATTTCTGACTTTCAGCATCTTTTAACTGTTTGGAACAGAGATTCATTTCCTCTAGTTTAGCTTGCTGCTTTCTTTCATGGGTTGTTTTTAAGGTTTCTGCCACTGGTGAGGATTCTTGAAGCTGAATTTCCAAATTTTCTGCTTTGAGATTCATAAAAGCAACCTGATTACGCTCTGAAACCTTAAGCAGCAATTCTCTGTTTCCTTCCTCCTCTTCCTGCAGACATCCCAGCTGGGATTTAGGTTTCAGTCTAGTGTCTTCCATGCTCTTCTCTTCGAGTGTCTTTGGAGACTCGTCAGCATCTCTTTGGGTTTTATCAGGATGCATTTGTTGTTCAGAGTCGCCAACATCTGCCCTGTTTGCCGCAAACATCAACGTTGCAGATTCTGGAAGCTTTGAAGATGTCGTTGCAAAGGATGAAGATTCAGAAGACTGTTGTTTGAAGACACTTTGATCCAGAGATACTCTGAGAAAAGGGGTAAAGAGGAGAAGTTAGTAAAATACAGAGAATGAAAAGAAACATAGCAGCATGTGTCATTCATCCCAAGCCTGTAAAGCCTCTCTGGGTACTCCAGTTTCCTCTCATAGCGCAAACACATGACTGTTAGGTTAAAGGTGCAGTAGGAGATCTTTTCTGACGCATTTTTTACCATGTGGCTTAAAGATCTCCCCACAGCCGCTTAGCAAGCAGTGAAATAGAAGGTCTGGAAGTGAAACTAAAATAAATGGTCACCGCTACAGTGAGAAATCAAAGAATCACCCCAACCAATCACAAAAGACGGTTCATTGTACACCATTGGTTCCATGACACGTCAATCATGGTCGTCTGCTTGTCCCTCCCCCCTGTGCGCGTACCCTGACACATCAACGAATCAACCCCCCAATGCACGTGCAGGACGCCATGGCTGGAAGCTAGCCACTGTTATGCTACGTTCACATCTATGGTGACCAGATTTGGGTTTCTGAAAAGGAGGACACTTTTTTGGGGCAGTGGGGCCAATGACTGGACCGGACCGGGAACCCCGGCGGCCGGGGACGGAGCGACCAAACCCAACCCAGTGATGGTATGCTTTCCCCTGCCTGCCCGGTCACCCCATTCACAACTAAAGCAGCAAGAGCAGCAAAAACGAGCGTGCTGCTTCATTTTTGATGCTTGTACAAGTTTAGTTCTGATATGTGGCTGAAGCATCTCTGATGCTCTGGCTGCGCAGTGGAAAGGTGGTTCTGATGCACGTTGGGTGGAGCTACCCTATCCTTTCTTTTCCTCTAACAATGGCAGCTATATTTTCTTTGATCGGGGGGTAAAAAGCAGTTTGAATCTATTTTTGAAGTGGAAAAAGTCCAGCTGAAAACATATTCAGAGCAGTCAGTTCATCCAGATTACCATCCTGCCTTCAAATATTATTTCTCTGTGGGAGATGCTCAGACCCCTGTACACCGGTGGTGTGGCGTCACTAGTATATCCTGTCTGTCTCCCTGCCAGCTCCATGCGAGGACCAGCTTCAGCTGCTCTAGACGCGCTGCAGACAGCATGCGTGTTCATGTGTTTTGAAGGTGTGGTTTCGAGGGGTTGTCTGAAGGGAGAGGCCTGGTTGTGTATGTTCAAAAATATAGCTTGCTGGAACCATTTTTCCAAGATCTCCTACAGCACTGGCGTCTCTAAATGGTTAAGAGTGTGTTGGTGCATGGTTGCCCTGGCAACCTGTCCAAGGGGCAACCCACCTTTCGCCCATAGTCTTTTGAAGAAAGGCACCAGGCTCACCATGACACTGACAGATAAGCAGCAGAGATGGATGGACGGAGTATTTGATTTTCTCCAACTCTGATATTTAAACATTAGATGCTAATTTATATTAAAGCCATTTTTTCTTTTTTTTACATTTAATCACAAGAAGTACGGTTTGATAAACCTGTTGCAGAGCTGGAGAGCTCCTTCAAGGACAAAGCACTGCATCCTTGGTGCACAAAGAAGCGTTTTCACAGATTTTTCCTCCCTGCAATTGTTTAAGTTAATATTCATCAGAGTTCCCATCAAACCCAGTAGGTTCTTTACATCCATGCTGTTATTTGCACCATTTCTACATAGTCTTGTATTTAGTATGTGGTGTTTTTTTTTTCCTTCAATAAAGATTTAGTCATATTTTCATTTCACATTTTGTTAAGTATCACCTAAAAATAATAAAAAACATTTCATATATACATACACTCCTCTACAGCATCTCAGTTCGTATTAATATGGAACCAGTTGCTCCTACTTTGCCGCTGCTACAATCAACATTTCCCACATAGGGACACAAAATTATATCTAGTTAAAAAAAACACTAATGTTTAAAATTACAAAGACAATATAATCTACTTACAGTTGTGGAGTCATTTTCTGTTTTGCAGGAATATGTTTCCTAATGGCCTCATTCTGTAGAATGAAATACTTAATTTGAACTTGCAGGTGTGGAGATGTTTGAGTAAATATACCATGAAATACAAACCGCTTTACTTTTTCTGTGAAGACAGTGACTGATGTTTCCTCAATATCAATGCTCTTCATCTTTTTCACTTTCTCTTCAGCTTCCTCATTTTCAAAACATACGGTTGCCTTGGAAAGAAAAAACAAACTAGAGACGTGAGTAAAACTACAACTACTAATGTGCCACAGCCTAAACAACTATTAGGTTACAAAAAACTTGCCTTTGTTTAAAAACAAGAATAAAAACAATAACGCCATTTATCACAACCCACATTATAATCCCAATTATTTAACAGAAATTCAAAGATGCTGCATTTACAGTTTATAACGGAAAATAAAAATACTGTAATTACTGTTAGGAGCAAAAAAAACAAATCAGAGCACATGATTAAATAGAGCCTTTTTAAAAACTGCACTAATAAAAGTAGACTTTCCTTGATAGAAGCAATTTAAAGGATGAAGTTATAAGATTGTTTTAAGCAGCAGATGAACTGAGGATACCTTTCGCTTGGACTTCAGCAGCCGACCTGATTTGGTTCTTCCAGATTTCTCCACAGCTGAGACCACATCGCTGTCAGGCAGAGAATGATGCGTCTCTCTAGGCACCACTGAGGAAGGAGGAGAGGATTCGGCAGCCTGATAAAAGGTGGGAGGTAAAAACAATTAATTCAGTTCCGCAACAAATATAATAAGATGTTTTGTTCCCTGATAGAAACTTCAAAATGCTGAAGACAAGAATAAGAAAGAAACGTTTTATTCCAATAAGCAGCTTAGCTCCAACCTGACGTTTCCTGATCTGATGCTCAGGCTTCACTTTGGATAACTTTGTATTTAGCCTCCTCTTTGCCTTATGGGAGGGAAAGGAGGATGAAGAGGATTTCATGTTCTTGAGTTCAGCCAAGATGAGTGGAACCAGAGTCTTAATCACAGCTTTGAGTTTAGGTTTCTTCATGAGGGACTGAACAGCTGCAGGAAACAAAATCATTTAAGAAGTTCAGTTAGTCTCCTTTGTATCATAGGGATCTATTAATTATGATAAAATCCAAAGAAAGAAAGAAAAACAATAAATCACCACGTCAGCTTCTAGCAGTGAATCACTTCAGTTTGACTCCGTAATAAAATGTTTCTAACCTGATTTTTTCAGCAGCCTCTCTGTCAGCTTCTCCACTTTGCTTAACCTCAGTCTATTGGAGGACCTCACCATCGTGGATGATCGCCTCTTGTGCCTCCTGCCTGATGAGGACCTCATCTCCTTCCTCTTCCTGGATGATGACTCCCTCTCATGGCTCCTTAAACATGAACCGTTATGCGATGTTGAAGGAGAGCAAGTTCTGTAGGATGCAAATGTAAAATCGGGAACATTCCATGTAGCTTTGAGGTTTCTACCATCTATCATAAAGAATATTGCTCTCTTCTTCTACAGTATTTCCCATATCTAACTTACCTCTGACTGTTTAAATCCTCTCCTGATCTCCAGCCAGCCCCAAAAACATCCCTACAATAAGGACTTGGAGAACGGGAGCGGCTCCTTGGTCTGTCCCATCCATCGTCCACGCTGCTGTGACCAGATTGGCTTTCATTCCTTGACCTGGATCGGCTCCCTGGTCTGATACTGTAATTATAATAATGGAATATCTGAGAGGAGGTTAAAGCATACTGCCTGGGATCTTTATTAGAAAAACTACAGCGAGCAGAAAAGAACAAATCAATAAGTGATTTTTTTATTTACCTTTTAAACAGTGGTACTGTACAGTCCCAATTGGGGTATCTGAAAAAAAAAAGAACAAAAAGGTCCTAGTTTAGAACATGTTCCTGTTAAAATCTCAGTATCTGACAGATTTTAATTTAATAAACAACTATCTTGAAGAGGAAACGGGATCTGATTTAAGTTAAGTCGTTTTGTTTTTTCCTAAACCAAGGTTTATCTTGCCCAAAACCTATGAAAAAAACTACAAAAGAATAAACATACATATACAAGATTATCAAGATCTTTATTTATGTTTTACATATTTGTGTGCACTTGTAAAGGAACCAGCGTGAGGACCATTTTTCTGATTTCACCATCACAACGGGGACCGGATGTTGTCCAGTGAGGACATTTTGCTGGTCCTCACAAGCTAGTTTTCTAGTGGTTATATTTAGGGCTAAGGTGTCAACTGTGTTAGGGTGAAGTATGACTTGGTTATGGTTAGTTTTAGTGTTGGGGCTTAGAAAGGTTTGTATATGAATGAAAAATGGAACAAGGGAAGTCAATTGGGAGGTCAACAAATGGTCCTCACTACATATAGCAGAACAAACATGTGAGGATACAGAATATTATATAAATAAATAAAAGCCTAACCGTTTCCGGAGGAGTTTGCAGTTCTCCAGATGAAAGCTGATATTCTGATGGAAGATCCAGTCCTAGAAGTTAGAACCAGAAACATTACTGTAAACTGAATGAAAACCGTCGGTCTGTGCAGAGATCAATAAAGAGTAGATTATTGTTACTATATAATATTTTTATAATAAAAATAAACCCAAATAAAGTTTGAGTCCAGCTGTGGTCCAAAATACGCCACATAAACCTTTGATGAAGGTCTGTTCTGCATGAAGCTTTGTCTAACTGCCGTATGTCTGTTTCTAGAGCAGGTAATGTGACAATAGCAGATTAACTATATAAACTAGTTTTAAAAGCATCATGAGTGAATCATTAACTATTTTTTATCCAATTAGAAAATATATTGATTTATTTCTCAGTGTGTGGCTGTAGATTTTCATAGCTATAGTCAGGAAGGCAGGATCTTCTGTAGAGGTCTGTCTCAGCCGATCGAAATAAGCCTTTGACTGAAGACACAGTTTTTTTTGGGGCGTGCTTTTGTGGTGCAGTGGTTGGCGTGCATGATCCATGTGTGGAGAACCTGGGTCCTCGGCGCAGGCTACTCGATTCAGGTCCAGCCTGCGGTCCTTTCCCGCATGTCTCTCCCCCTCTCTCATCCCCTTTCATGTCAGTCTACCGTTCATAAAACGAGTCACTAGTGCTATAAAAACTAAAAAAACAAAAACAAAAAAAACCTCAAAGAGCTTTAACAGGAGGATGCCCACTGTTGTTCATGATGTTCCTCATTTTACTGCCACTTATTACCTTTTAAATAAAAACTAAGGGTCCTACGTGGCCAGTCCTTCATGTCCAAAGTATCTAATTTTATGTGGAAAAATTGCACAAATGTAAAAAAAAAAATAAAGCCAAACTGTTTTTTTTTTTTTACATTTTTAAACATGGCTTTGCTTAATGTTGTAAAATAACAATTTGCCCACAAAAATATCTGTTTTGTCTTCATTCAACAATATGTTTCAGTTCAATGTGCACATAGTGATGTTTTCCACTGGCTTAGGGGTGGGAGATATGGACTTAGCCAAATATTTTTACATTGGCTTACATTGAAAGCCTCCTGAAACACTGATGTTTAACAGCTCTAACATTTTAAAAATAGACATAGCACATTGTTAATGGATTTCATCACAACTTTAAATGCATTGATGTTCTCATTAAAGTCAAAGCAACGGTGAAAATTGTTTTGGGGTTTACAAATAGCCAGCTCGCTTGCTGCCTGATCGGATTCTGTCCTTTAAATCTACTGGGGGATTATTGGCTGTGAAACACTGATGTGGAAATATGTTAGGACAGCTTGCATTAAACTAATAAATTGTGATGTTGAGTTTTGAGTTGGCCTGGGGAATTGATGGTGAGCACCAGCGCCATAGGCCAAACAGTAGATTGTCAAATTGACAGTGACACGTCTCCTTTTGGGAATCATGGGTTTGGAGAAACGGCTGAGGAGATTGAGGACATCAAAAAGTCCCTTGACTTTCTTGCTGAGGACATGTCCGCTGTAAGTAAGCAGTGACAAAAAAAAAAAATGGATTTGGTGGAGATCAAAGTGCTGACGACAGAATAAAGAGAAAAGTATCAATAGCAGAAGGCTATACGCATATTTCAGTAATGTCAAAGATTATTTACATCAGTTTAAACAACTATTCAGTATAATTTCTTGTGAAATTCATTATCAGACTGTGCTTTTCCTTGGCTAAATAAAAGTAACAATTGTTCCAGTCTCTGCTGGAATGTAGGAAGTTGAAGCAGGGGTGATAACCCTAACCATCTCTACTCTAGACAAGGATAAACGTCCTTATTGTGTGCGAGGTTCTAACATCCCTTTTTTCCTGTTGTGAGCGGAAGACAGTTGATGTCATGAAGGGAAAACAGTTGTCCTGAAATGTTTATCTGGCTAAATTTATGACTTTGATGAATTTAATTGTTTTCCTTCTTTTGTTCAAGTATACGAGAAAGCTCTTTTGTGCAGGGGTAGTTTCATGGGAGAGAGAGAATGTGCTAAGATTTCTGAAGAGTATAAATATGCTTAGGATAGATAAGTCAGAGCTTCTATATACTCTACGTCTCACTAAGGATGTTAAATAAAAACAAATATGTCTTGCAAGAATTTTTTTAGACGCAGTTTCCTAACTTCACATGCTGTATCCAAAACCTGGATTAATGAGGAGAAAGGGACGGACTCTGAACTTGATGGATTGGAATTGAGATATATAAACAGGTTAAATAAGAATGGAGGAGGAGGAGTTGCTATATAGGTGAAGATGGATCCAAAATATAAAATAATTGATAATACATCAGTTACTATCAGGTGAAAGATCTTACCTGAATATTTGAACAAACTTGGCTGCAGAGAGAGCAGGTGTGTGGGAACGATCTGGGCGTGGCTGCAGCGTAGTCGTCCATCATGGCTCGAGGAGGCAGGCTGCTAGAAACGGGTAAAAACCATCCGTCTGAAGCTGGCTGGAACCTCTGGCTGGAGATCACTGGGTTAAAGGCCTCCAGAGGTAAGATTGGAGAATCTGAAACCATCCTGGACCTTACAGGATGGGGGTCTGATGTTGGTAGTCCCAGAATCTGGTCCGGCTCCCTTGGAGTCTGCTGCTTTGATTTTTTCTTCAGACGCTTTTCTTTTTTCTTTTTCTCTACAGCCTTTAACACCCTTCTATGAGTTTTACTCTTTCTGCAGATTCTATTTTTAACCATTGGGTCAGCTTGCACAGTTATGTCTGATCCAGATGGTTGGATTTGAGGAGATAAATTCGCTTTTTGTTCTTTCAGAGGAAGGAGTTCAGACTCTTTGGAGTTTGCAGAACGTCCGTCACTGCTTTTGGTTAGGCAAGGCAACAAGGAGAGAGAGGTTTGTAAACCCTGACATGGTTGGCTCTGCCATTTATTTGAGTCACAGAGTGGGGGCTCCACAGAGGTCCTGATTGGGCTCAAAATGCTAACAGAGCTATTTTGGTCATGTAAAGGCTTCCATTCAAGTCCAGAGTTTCTATCTTTATCAGGTTCAACAGTAGATGGAGTTTTAATTTGGAGAGTCTGTGGACTTTCAGAACATCTCATATCTTCAGGTCCAGTTGAGCTTTCAATGGATAGAAATCCTGATTCAGCAGCTATTTTCTTTCTTTTTAGGTTAGAGAGTTGTTGCAAGATGACAGGCAGGTTCATAGCAGTTACCTCATCTTCAGGGTAGTGCAGGAGATCTTCCAAATCCTCTTTTTCAAGCCCATACCACTGAAGGATCTTAGTGGCCTGTTCTGGAGTATACTCAGGGACAGTGGAATCAGCAGAGGACTGGTCCACCCCTGCAAGTGTTTCACATACTTGTTTCTGTGAGATATGAACCATGATTTTAGGAATATATGTATTTCCAGCTGTAGAACATGATGGTTTTATTGTGGAACAGCCTTCTTCCACATCAAAGTTGGTACATTGTTGAGAAGCTGAGCACAGCTGGCTAATGGGAGCATCCATGACTAAAGATTAAAGACTTTATATGCTTCAAAGACAAGAGCTTAATATTCCCAGGAGATGGAGGACAAAATCTGACATCAGGTCTGAAATATCAGCAAAGGGATGAAGACCAATGGTCAGAGAGGATTAAAGGAAAGCATTCTTTGTCAGAGATTGTTTTGTTTTTTTTGTCAAGCACTGTCAGATAAAGATTGAGGAAAAATGTTAAAATTATACATTTATAAACAAATATGGGAGAGAAATAATTTGAAAGCCTTTTGAAGGCAAACTTGGGTCATAAATGTAAGCGCGAGTAAACGCTTTTTTTTAGGCTAAGCTAAAGGAAAACGTTGGCTAAAAACTGAGCAAACTTGTCACATAAACCGTATATGTTACCTTTTCTTTTAACAGCGGTATTTTACTTACCTATGGATGTTTTTCTTTCGGCTTGCTTATAAAAAAAACTTACAGTGAGTCATTTCACTTTAAAGTAATTAACTTAAACTGTTAGCAGGTGCTTAAAAATGGCGGTGCAATCTGGTCACTTCCGGAACGGGTGCTAATTTCAAAATAAAAGCCTAGCAGGTGACGAAAAAAAAATATTTGTATTTATTGGTGGCTCACGTTCAATTATTTGCGGAAGAGGATTAGGGCCACTGAAAAAAAAGTTAACTGATTTTAAAATTTTATTTCAGTATAACCTTTTATAGGGGCACTCAGTGAAATACTTAAAAAAAAATTCAAGCTTATGTTGTTATTGGAATCCAGCACAAGACCTTATTATGATTGTAACATTCAACAAATATCGATATTTTGATTACAAAAAATAATGTCAATGCAATAATTTAAAAAATTTAAACATTTAAAAGTGTTTCTATAAGAAATTCACAAAAAAACACTGAAAGTGAAAGAAGCACCTTTTGTTTGTCTTTTGGGTACAACCTAACCTTAGATGCATTAATGCTGATACTGGCACTTACATTTTTTCATTAATGAACCTAAACATAATTGTTAACTTTGCAATTAGCTTTTTACCTTTTTTGCAAAAAATAAATTTTAAAGCCTTGTAGCAGTATCTTTGCTGAATAGCTGGATATAGATCTAGTGCTTCTAGACCTTACTGAGGGATGGGGGACTCTATTTGTAAGGGTGATCAAAAATGCTAATTTGCCCTATAAAGGGATAACATGAGAAAAAACGACAGAATTCAGACTATTTTTCTCAGGATTCCGACTTTTTTTTTCTCAGAATTCTGATTTTGTTTTTCAGAATTTATTTTTTTCCTCACAACTGACTTTTAATCTTAGAATTTTAACTTTAACCTTAGAATTCCGACTTTAATCTCAGAATTCTGACTTCTCAGGTGTTACTGGCCCTCCCAAACAACTCACATCTTTGTCAGTGAAGCTGAGTGCTCTCAAATCTCTTCCTTCATGGTGTCCATCTACATTTAGATCCACAATTCTGTAAAGTTAGATTTCTGACTTTTTTCCCCATATTAAACTGAAATAACATTTAAAAATCAAACATTAATTATTTTAGTGGCCCCAATTTCTCTTCCATAATTATTGAATCAAAAACATCCAAGTGAATATAAATAGCATTACTATAGATAGACAGCCAGAAAATAGACAAAAATAGTGTGAATAAACAGTTTTATCAAAAGGAAACAGTTTCAATTTATCAAGTGAACCATGGTATCTCTACTCATTAATAAAATGGCGAAACATTAAATTCAAACTGCACGAGTTAAAATACCTAATAGAAAATAAGCTTCCCACATAAACATTTGTTATATTTTATGTGATTGTACACAAACACTTAAACAATCTTGAAACTTTTAATATTCATAAAGAAAAGTGACATGTTTTATTTTGCGCTTACAGAGTATTGGCAATACTGTCAGAGACATCATAATTTTAACTTCAAACTAATAATCTACAGTAAACAGCCTTAATAAACATGTGCCCCTCGCTTGGAAAATTATTGCACAATATACAAAAACATTTTAGAATAAAAGTGATCATACAAAGCACAAGTTTTCATAGAAAAATGAAAATACTGGATAAACTGTTAACCTAGAAACATATTTGTTCTATTGATGATCTTATTAACAGCGCACAAAAATTACTAAAGCTGTTCATTATAACAAAAAATAAAAAAAATACTTGGATCAGTTAAACAGGGTTTCCACTCAGTTATTTTTAGATGTTTTTGAAGATTTCAGCTTCATAGTCGTCTGGTAATATTTCTGAAAAGTGAGAAAAAAAGAAACATAAGCAGCTGCCTCAAAGATGCAGTCATGGATCCATTTGTACTGCGTCTGTGTGAACCTGTAAGTTGTCGTAGTGCATTTGGGTTTGGCAGTGCTGGTCCTCTTTGGTTCCCTCATTCAGAAAGGGAACGGAGCACAGCGTGCAGAAATACCCCCACTTACGGCTCACAAACTCCTTACCTGAAGAGGAGAGAAACAAGAACAATGTTTGAGAAGAGATTAAACCAATACCACAGTTTTGGAAAGTAAGAAAAAATTATCATTAAATTTGGGCATAAATGATATGAGTGCTTTAGCGCTAAAAAGTAAACAAACAGAAACCCTGATGTTAGTTGCTCTCAGTGGTACGATGATGTAGAGCTGACAAGGACAGAAATAAATAGGCTTCATATTCAGAATACATGAAATTTTGTTACTTGGATCCGTCATACCTTACCAAATATACACATTAGCAGTGCTTTGCAATAGCTGTACAGCACATAATATAACTGTAAAAACTACAATTTAATATCCACTGTATTCGGTTACCTCTGAAGTCAAAACTGGAAAAATTAGTGGGGTTTGCTAAGTGCTATTATCAGAGACCAGGTTTCTGTTAGTAACTACAGTAAGTTACAGGTCTGATGTATTTGTGTGTAAAAGTGGAAATTATTGATAACAGATTTCTGTCCAGAACCCAGTGAAACCTTCAATGTTCCCATCTGGGATCACATTTCTACTATGTTCATTTATCCAACTTGAACCTTGGACCTTCCTGTGTATTTACTGAAATGGTACAAGCAACGAAAAGTTTAAAAGTGCTTTTCTAATGCAGGTCATCCTCCGCTTCTCAACTATTTCCCCACTGGAAGATCTGATCCATGAGGGCAATCAGTCTGCATACAGAGGGGAGGCGGAACGATTGGTTTCTTTAATCTGACTGGAGCTTGACCTGCTCCAGACTGAGGTGACGACAGAGGACTTTCAGAGGTTTTTTTTATGGTCTCCAACAACATTTATGTGCAACTGAAGGCGCACTGTGAAGTGTATTATGCACAGAAGGTCCTGACTGAACACCTTGAATCTGCCCTCTGGTCTAATTATGCAGAACACCAAGTCTTACAACCTTCAACTTTTTTCAACCCTCTCTACCCTACAGGAATGATTCCACCAATGACAGAAAGAGGACCCTTTAGCAGTCTCCACTTAGAATTAGACAAACTGCTGCTGATATTTTAAAAGCCCTGCAGGCCGTGATAACTGTTAATGGGGGGAGAGGCATAGAGTTCAAGCCCCACTGTGGGTCCCTGAGAAAAGACCCTTAACCCCACACTGCTCGCCAAAGAGATGGGTTAAAAACAGAGAGTGAATTTTGTGCACTTTACTTGTGCCAGTGTAATGAAAAACAAACAAACAAAAAAGGCTAATTATTGTGCATATTTGACCAAACTGACACATACAAACACAAACACTTATGACTGATATAAGTGATAAACTTTGCCTTTTAAATACCAAATATCAGTTTCAAAATGTGTTGTTAAACATAACATAAATCCTTAAATGGTTGGCAGAGCAGGGTGTCTCACCTAGTGGGGTTTTAGGGTCAAATGGTGGCAGTTTGATGTCAGCACTGGCAGATCTTTTTGGTTCAGGTCCTGAAAGCTCCGCTTTCCGTTTGCTAGGAGCTGAAAAGAAAAGAGACTCATTTCATAACAATAACTTAAAAGGCGTCCATTTTTTAAATTCTTGATATATGATTTAAATAACAGAAAGATGAAGGTTAATCCTGAAAAAGACCTTTGTCTTTGGTTGTTGATCCTGTATTAAATCTATTTTAATAAACAGAAAAGTTGTAACACGAGTTTTGTTCATCAACACCAAATTAACGTTAATATAGCGGATATTCATCCATTCGAGTGTTGAAATATAAGTCATCCTTACATCGACTTTGTTGGATTAATTGTACATAAGTTATTCTACTTTAATCATATTACTTTAATCATATTATACTTACACATTTTGTTATCTCTATCTTACTCATATTACAAAGAGTGTTAAAACATTTAACTTTTTGCTGTGTTAATGTTTTGCTGTAGGTCTGTGCAGGAGGGGTGCTCACTGCTGAGGTAACAGATGCCGTTAAGGGTGTGGAGGAGCATGGAGAACTGTGCAACCAGATAAGGAGAGGGATTCTCCTTATCTTATGATGTTGTATGATGTTGTACGAAAGTTCTGGTTTCAACTGGGTTCATTCCCTCCCCTTTTAGCGGTTGAAACCACATTGTAATCAGGGCGTTCCTTCAATAAAAAAAGCTTGGAGAACAGAGACTGCTTCAGAGTGGGTTGGAGATTGTAACTGAATGCAGTTTCTGATCCCCTCTCCTTGCAAGTGAATTATACTAAATTCTCTGTGTCTTTCTTTTCCAGGTTGCTGAATAAGGTGTTTGGTGTTTAAACCTAACAGACTTCAAATTTAAAAATCATGTTTTTGTTTTCCTTGAAATCCTTCCCAGTTATTGTCAGGAGCTTCTTTACAACACCTCAAATTTAAATATGTTACAATATTTAATAACAAATACTGCTGCTCTGTTTCCTACTTCCTGTTTCAGGGAGCAGTGCTGCATGTCACTACCCGATCCGTCCCAGTAACACGATCCGAACCATCAGCTCATTTGTGCATGTGTAACCAGATATACATCCAGGACGCCCTGGATTTTATTTTGTAAAATAGACCTAAATTGCATTTTTCCCTCCTTAAAAATAGTAAGTGTACTAAACAATAATGTGTTAAAGCTTAATAATGTATTTCCTCAGAAAATAAATGCCTTAAAATCCTTTCTGTTTTATCACTCGTCTGTGACTGATCTGTACAGGAAATGGGATCCAACGCCACTTCCGGGAGCTACATTTTTAGGCTTTGGATTTAAACCTAAATCTAGTCTATTTGAGTGTTATGTTTTCATTTCAGCTAACATTATGATATATAGTGTGTAATCTAAAGAAAGAAACAACTAAAATGCAGATAAACATGCTTTAATCATATATTGTCGGACTACTATTAGCATGTCCAATGATCATTAAAAAAGCAGAAAATGTTTGACAAAATGTTCAAATCTTTTAAAATCATAGAGGATTACAGCTATATTAATCTGTTTTTAATAGAGTACTAGAATATTTTCACTCTATGTACATTAGCTTAACTTAGTTTAAGATGCTGCTTGAAGCATTGAAAGATTCTGTATCCTTTAGAGTGAGGATGTGATCTGCTTACTAGATAAAAGAGAACAGATATCCATGTGATGCCAATTCACTGATATATGTATATCTGTGGGGGTTTAATCTGAAACAACTGGCGCTAGGATTGGGACTCATTATTTGGAATCAGTTAGTTTAGCTTGTTCCTGTTCAGGCTCTACCTTCTCTGCTGAGATTCTTCCTGCAAGTAAAGATCTGTGATCTCAACAAGGCGGCCATCTGCCTTTGGCTTCAAGTCTGGTTAATGTTAGAATTTCACCGACATAAAAGAAAAAAAAAATCAATCAAGTTCTACCTTTAACTTCCCTACCTTTGTTTCCCTTCATGCATTCTTCCTTTTTCTCTCCACCCAGACATTCTGACTTCATCCCTCTGGTTGATTTCCTCACTGTAACAGAGGACAAATGAAGAGTTTCCTCAGCTTTTATTGTTCTGCTCTCAGAGATGGAGGGATGGAGCTCCGTCCGTCTCACCTGGAGTCAGTTCCACCGTCTTCTTGGCTTGAGCTCTGGTCCTGATCGCTGGAGCTTCCTGTTCCTCCTCTTTAGTCTCTTTGAAGGTAACGTCTCCAGAGGTTCCTGAGGATTTCTGCTCGCAGGCTTTCGATGGGACGTTTTTAGGAGGCGTTTCTTTGGCAGCAGCGTTCCTCGTCCTTGGTGGCGTCTTGACTTCTTTTCCCTCATCTAAAGTTTTTTTCCTTCGTCCTCTAGGAGATCCTGAGGTGATGGTTGGTGCATTAGCCGCTGCTTTGTCTTGTGTTATTTTATCTTTGTTTGATTCTTTGGTAGATCTATCAGACCGTTCAGTGATGGACTCCTCTTGAACGGTATCCTCTGTCTCTGCCCTGCTGTCCTCTGTTGGAGTCTCAGACGGTTGATCTGAACTGTCTTGTTTTACTGATGGATTCTCCTTTTCTTCAGGGACGATTTTCACATCTGGTTTTATTGTCAAACCTTCATCTTTGACTGGATGCTCTCCTTCCCTCACAGACACTTCATCGGTGACGCTCTCCTTTTCTTGAACAGGAGCACCTGACTCAGTTTCAGTGCAAGTTTTGGCCTCAAGTTCTCCCTGATCTGATTTTTGGCACATCTCGGCTGTGCTAGCATCGAAACCAATATCCTGCTTCTTTTCTTTCTCCGCTTCTTGATCGGTTTTCTCACAAAGGGAATCATTGGGATGATTCTCCTCACCTTGCCTCTCCCCCGTTCTCTGGCCATCATCTTTTTCTTTGGTCTTGACTGCTTCCTCTCTCAGCGTTTTCTCTGGAACATCCGTCTCTGGACTCTGGCTCTGACTGGTCAGCGCCAAGGTCTCTCCATGTGCAGATTGTTCCATTTTAGTGGAGTTTTGCAAACTTAACTCATCTATTTTTACAGCTTTTGTCTCTGCAGAGACTTTAAAGCCAGGTTTGCCCTTTGCACTTTCTTTGGATCTTGCAATGTGCTTCTGTGCCTGATAAGTTTCTGGACAGATCTTCACACCTCCTGAAGATGAAGGGGTTTGCTGACCCGTAGATGAAGACAGAGCTCCCTGAGTTTTAGCTGAGTCTGATGATGAGGAGGAAAGGGTTCTGTAGTCTCTGTCAAGGGAAAAGAGTTTGGGGGAACATGTGGCATCAAGTGGAAATCTAACTTGGGGGGATTTGGATGGGGTTGATGAAGAGGGTGAGCTTTTGTAGTTTCCAGAGGAACCTGCTGAGGTCCCGTTATCTTCAGGTGGCACCTCTGAGCTTGATCTCTGCTCCTTGCTTTTCTCTTTATTCTGTATGGATAAAGATACATTAAAATAAATAGCAACAGCTAAAACACAGCATCTTACTGGGCAAATTTAATAAAAACTGAAGCCGTGGAATGCTAAACACCAAATTAAGTGTATAATGCATCAGCAATCATTGTGCATACGGGTAGGCAGCAGGATCCTGCAAAATTCGAGGCATCACTTTGAAGAGGTAAACTGACTCTAGCCTTCAATGAGGTAACTCTTTCATACTAAATTTTATGATCCACATACAGTTATTAAAAGGACTTCTAGTAAAAAATATTTTCTTTTAAATTATTCTCTATCAGCCAACTGTTGAATCTTAATCTGCAAGAACTGTTTTATACCCAAGAAATGAAACTACTGCATCTGAAATGTAACTAGGCTACATCCCTTTCAGTACCAAGGACAGCGCCCCTATCGGGTAATGATGGTAACATGGAAGGGGCTCTGACAAGGAGGCACCTTAAAAATATTAAATATAAAGTTAATTTGGAGACTTTACTTGCTCACAGACATTAATGTTGTATATCTGGGGTGATATGCCAATATTCAGGTAACTTTTTTAAAAGGCCAGAAAGCATGAATTTGGTAGAGCACGATGTGGATGTAGTAGTTTAAGTAGGTTTAAGTACCGGTAGGAGGAATTGTAGAGACATCCTGTACCATTCACTATGCAATGTTATTTAGGAGGACAGAAAGCAGATGCCTCCCTACTCCAGACAAGGGTGAAGGGAAGGTTATGAGAGAAAATGAGTTCACAAAGCCTTCTTCATGCCGTGGTTAAAATTTATGTCCTTGATGAACTGAAGACTCAATGTTCATGTGTGTGGAGTCTCTCTATATGCAGGGGTGGGATGCTACCCACCAGACCCACACTAACAGTTTCAGCAGTATGTGTTGTTCTCCTCTGCAGAGTAAAATATTTTTTTTTTTCCTCCCTTGCATATCAACTCTCAGTGCTCATTTTACTTCACAGTAGTTAAACAATGTTTTTAGAAAGTCATTTTTTAGAAGCGCAATTACTGAAGCACATAAGTCCGGTATATGCTTTGTAAGGGTTGCAAAGCTGAGTATTTAAGTTGAGCTAAATCTAAAGTTTCCATTCAGATTTTTTATTAACCTTAATAGATTTCAGATAAATCCGTCGGTAAATGTGGTTGTCTAAATGGTTACCGCAGATGTCGTTGCCCAAGTCAGCACATAAGATTTCTGCATTTGTAACTCATATACGGTGATGTCATTCATGCTTATAAAGGCACTAGCATCATTATAACGGCTAACAAACAGCCTGGTTGATGACACGTCTGGCTGCGTGCTCTAATCAATGCAGAGGTACTATAAAGGGTGTGTGCACTATATGCAGAGCAAATGGGTGCCGACTATAAGAAATGCCTATTTCCTTGTTATTAGTGGGTTAAATCCTATTCAAAACTGTTCAAACAAATTATGCTCAAAGAAGGCTTCTGGTTCAGAAAGCATGAGAACAACTTTTTCCAAAAATGTCAGAATTATCAATAAAAATACATAATAAATGGGCAGAACCATCTAAAAAACAGTAAATATGCTAACGTTAGCCTGGACTAGATGCATGAAAACACTATTAGATGGAGTATAGACATGATTACGTGTATATGCTAAGTATGATATGTTTTTAACGAAACTGACAGGAGTACATTAAGTGTGACAAAAATCTCAGATTAGAATATGATCTGATCATGGCCATAGCACAGAATGGATACATACAACTGAGACATAATGAAGTAGACGTTACCTGCTGAGTTTCTGTGGAGCTTCCCTGTTGCTTTCGGAACTGAACAACTAGAGCTTTGATTACATTAAAACTGTTGATGTCGATTTTAGGGAGGTCTGGCTTTTCTCCCAGAGGCTGAATTAAACTGGTCTGCATGGGGCTGAACTTTGTTGACTCTTCTTTTTCATTTGTCGTCACAGCAGATAAATTGGTGGAACTAGTTGTTTTCTCAGCTTCACGTCTCTCCTGTATCGCTGCACCACCCTGTCCTGCAGAAAACATGGATGCTGCGGTCTCAGCAGAGGAAATAGACTTAGCAGAATCAGGGGTTCCGGTTTTTGTTGCCTTCCTATCAGAAGACTGTTCTGCCTTCGTCATGGCAGTGGGTTCAGTGTTGGTACCCACTCTGTCCAGTTCTGGGTGTACTGGGATGCTCTTTTGACCTGGTGTTAAAACAGTAAATAAAAGAAAGAAGAGTGTGTTGATATCACTGACATTTATAATGTCCTTATTTTATAATGAGCATAAATAACTGATTACAGCTTCATATTTTGGGGGTTTTATAATGGAGAGACACAGCTATTTGCTACCTTTGGTTTTCGTTGCCCTTTTCCAGAAAGCTATAGAACCAATTTAATAACAATCATTCACCTGCCTTTCTGCTTTCTGACAGGTAATGACATCTGGAAGGCTGTCTGAATTTATCTCCTTTCCTATTCTAGATAGTCTCCTTACTGTTGTCCATGCGAAAGGTAGGAACAGGAGCTATAATTTGCCAAACCTAGAATTAGCCACAGACAGAGGGTCTGGCTCAATGTTTTAGTAGTGCCAATATGTATATTTTTTGCCGTAAAGTCTAAAGTCACAGTGTTTATTTTTTGTTTTTTAGGGCACAGCATCACCGTCCTGTGTCATTGTAAAAATGCATACTGTAAAATGAAATGGGTCATTTTATATTGGTTTACAGGTAAATTTGGAATATTCTTGAATCATAAGGATAGTGGACCAAAATGGTACCTCCTAATCAGACTGCTTATAAACAACACAAATTAAAAGCAAGACATTGGAAGGACCAAAAGAACTGAACAGTTTATTTATTTTATTGGTTGATATATATATATATTTGTTTTACCTTTTAAGTGCACTGTTTTTGTTCAATTCATTGTGCACAACCTACTTTAAATTGAAAGGAAATACAAAATATCTTACTCATTGTGTACATGTTCGCTGTCAAACAGCCAACGGATCTATGAGCCGCCTCACCTGAACCTTGTTCTGTTACCCCAGTTCAAAGGTTAATGGTAACTTCACCGTCTTACCTTCATTCATCACAGTATTGTTCAGCTGGGTAAGAGCCCCATCTTCACAGTCCTTTAGGCGCCGTTCTCTGCTCTTTACTCTGAAAGGTCAACCAGAAACAGATGTTGGGAAAATCTGATTTATTCATAAAAGATATCAAAACAACATAGAGTGGATTCCAGAAGAGTACGTATTTCTGGCATGTTGCCAATTTTTTACAAAGCAAATCAGTTGAAAATTTATAAATAATCTGATATAAAAAGAAAAAACTAATTTGGAGATCTGTCTGTATAAATACACATGTATAATGATCTAGCTTTAACCTTTAGTCTTCTTGGGTATTGGGATCCCCAGTGTTTGATTAACTTTAAATAAAGTTATAATTTCCGAGTGGAATTTTCTTGGCTTTTTATATTATTTATAATCTTTGCAGAGATTTTGATCCCCAGGATAATATTTGATACCTGATGCTATGTTCATTACCATGTGGATAAAAGAATGAGGTAGTTAACGGCATAAAACATATACATCCCATTATGAAAAACTCCCATTTCTAAATCTTAACATAGAAACATGCTTTTTTCAAACAATCACACACAGGTTAAATAAAAGTCCAATTAGATGCTAAATTAATAACACATATTTATGCAACAAGATTGCACCTTTTTTACAATTTTGCCTCATAAACTGGTACATTATTTGCTTATTTACACGTTTCACTTTTTACAACTGCTGCTGGTTCACCAAAGGACATTTTATACCCACTTAAACATGAAAGAAAAATAGCTTTACTTGCTTTTATTCTGCTTTTTTGTGGTCCATTTGTTTTATACATTTTTTTTTTATTTTATTCTGCTTTTATTTTTCTTCTTTTTTTATTATATAATTCATGTAAAGCACTTTGAATTTACCATGTACTGAATTGTGCTTTATAAATAAAGAGCTTTAAACAGAAACAATGGCTGCCGATGAACTTCTAAACATGCCCAGACATGCTTTTTTTGGTAATTTTTAATCTAAAAATGGATTTTAGACCGGATGTGATCAGCAGACAAACATAGTTGTACAGCGCTGCTATTTGCTGGCAGTACCTACTCACACATCCATTATCTCGCCACCTTCTCAGTGTTCAGCTCCCGCCTCACAAACACTTCCACACTGGGTTTCAAGTGCTAATTGTGTCTTTTCTCTCCTGTCATTAGGTATTTTACCAATTTTTTTCAACTTGTATTTTTCCCTCTTTCTATCCACACCTCTACTTGCAACGTTTGGATGATAAGGCGTGATAAGGGGTCTTATCATTGTCTTATTATCGTAAACATTGAAAACACTTAAGTTTAGATAGAAATTGATAAAAATGACATGTAAAACACAAAAATAAACCATAAGCAGCCCACAGGGCGCCATGTTTAATCAGAGTCTCTGTATGTTAAAAGAGTACGCTAGTGACAAAGTCACAAAACCTTGATTTGTAAAACACAAGAAATTTAAATACTTACGACTCAATGCGTCTTACTTGCTCCCTGCATGACGACAAAACAAAACTCATCATCAGGAGGATGCTCTTATGGATCCGCTATCTAATCTTTGGCCACTATGATTCAAACTCAAAAACTTACCAATCTTTATACTTTTCACATAATTCTGGCCGCAACAGGTTCTCTACAACCTTTGCCATTTCACTTGGTGTCGTCATCTCGATGTAAATCTGTAAAGAGGCGGTTTTGTACAGAGAAAATTAACAGTCATAGAAGAAATAATTAAAATGGTGCTGATGATCATGAAATCCCTGTTGTCTTTTTTGGTTCAAGTTCAGATTCTGGTTTTTGGTAAAAACACAAAAGTGCTGTTTTCATAAGATACCATATAAATAAATATGCTAATTGCATTGATCTTGTTGATCTTACAGTAGAAAAGATTTTTACAGAGAAAAGTCAAGAAATCGTTCCACTGAGACGTTCTATGCATAAGTATGCAGAATAGGTGATGGTTTACCCTGTCGGCGAGAGGCAGGAAGTTGTTAAAAGCAGCCATGTTCGCCACCTCATCCATGACCATCATGGCTATATCCTGGTCCATCCTGGACACCTCCACACACAGGAGCCGCTCCTCCAAACCCCACAGGTCTGAAATTACCTGGAAAACAAGAAACATTCTGGTTTCAGTTCACAAGCAGCCAATCAGAAATGATGAGCTGATGAAAGGAAGGGAATATCTACTCACAGCGTTGCTCCATTTCATCAGAGTTTTGAACAAGGATACCTGTAAAAATGAAGTAAGATCTTTAAAAAAAAAAGAACTAAACACTCAGATGCATGTAACAGAAAAAGTAAAAATAAAGAGGATTGTTCTGCTTGTCATAAAGTATATGTAAACTGCTGTACAGTACTGATCCCCTACAGGGATACTGAAGCAAAATACTCTTATATCGGCCAGATCTCTTCTTTTTTTCTTTACCTTTAATCCATTTTCCAGACATTTTGTAAACACCCATCTATATTCATTCAACTGACCAGTTGTTTACGGCTGTGTTTGAATGAATGTCACAACATAAACAAGGTTTGTGTATCCTTTGCACTGAAATAGACCACAGGTAGGGTTGTCAAAAGTATCGAGACTCAAAAAAGTATCGA